AGCTTTTTTCCAGGTGTATATTTCAATTAACTGCCGTACAGCAGTGTTTCTGCTAGTTTTAATGTAACTACATGAAGTATGAGTAAATAACAGAGGTTTAATAAATATGAAGTAATAAAAATAATGTGCTGCATCCACCAACCACACCACATACATTGTACATATGGTGGATATTTAGCAAGATACGACACATACACTTTAGATTTAAGCACTTACTTTAACTTAGAAACAAAGGGTAGATAATAAGGCATGCCACAGTAGGGATGAATAACACAGTCAACAAGTTCTGCATCCTGTAATTCAGGCACAAATGGAAAGAGTGAATATGGTCCATTATGGTCCAAGGGAACAACCCAGAATCCCCCATCTGACAATAGCAGTTCACCAGACTTGTTATGAAAATTTCGCTCCACATGCTGTCATAAAAAGAATATCAATATGTAGTGTATGCTAATTAATAACTTTGATGGAATATATAGCATGAAATACATTTTCACCTTTTAAGATCAACTTGATTTAATTTGGCCACACTTACAGATAAGTAAAAAAATTAAAAGATCAAGCAAATGTAAAAACCACCCAACACTTTAAAGCCTGTCTTAAAAAAAAAGAAAAAAGAATCAGAGTGAGTTATGTATATTTGAAGAAAACATATGCAAAATGTTTCCCAAGTACTTGTGACTATACTTATGAAAATTATGAGAGGGATTTACCATTGCTGTATTGTTCACTGATGACCACAACTTTAAAATGTCCATATAATCTTAAATGAATGGAACATATGGAAATTTTTTTAACATAAAAGAGTGGCACAGAATTTAAACTTTACTTTCTGCGGGGAAATTTTGTCTTCATAATGAATATATGCATCAAACTACCAAAGTCCTTCTAAAAATCCATGCAAAATAAATTTTGTAAAGTTTATATTAAAATTTGAAAGGACTGTATTTGAAAAGAAGTCATACAAGTAATGCTATATAATGTCACAGAAAATACAAGTTTTTGAAAAATGGAAAATATACTACCAAATATTTTCCTCTTAAACACCTTCCTTACCATGCTTGGCATTACTATTTTTTATTAAAACTTATAATTAACCTATTATAAATGACATCTACTTTCATTAGATGATGCACTTCAATTTGTAGTTGATAACTTGACAAAAATATGTGATATCAGAATCCTTACATTCATTCACCTGGAATATATATATATAGCAATAGTAAAAAAGTTCATGTAGCAGTGTGAAATAAAAGATACTTTGAACTGTCCATATACTTCACTCCATTCAAAAATGTAAGAGTATTAAAGTAGTTTAATCTATTTCACATCCAAACAACCTAGAGATTTTCACTTTGCAAGGTATGTATTTAAAAGACATCTGAAGTGGTTAAGATAAAGTGATTTCAAAATGAGATACTTCATTTATCAGTTTGTTGTTAAGCAAAAAACTAAACAATGGACTACCTGTTCTCTGCCAATTGTGGATATCAAAACCCTAATTTTAGTGATACAAGCCCTTAGACTTACCACTGACCCACAGGGTTGGGGGCACATTAATTCTTAAAACCAAGGAATATGACCAGAGGAAATCTATTATACCATATCTGATCCATACACAAAGCTAGAATTACATGTTGTTTTGTTATTGCTTGAAAGGTTTATGGCACAGAACAACAGCTGCTATCTGCACCAAACATTACTCATAGGGACTGATGGATAATCTACGTTGGTGATAAAGTGTACAATAAGGAAAATAACACTGCTTGTTGGATCGGTGGTAGGTGTTTTGGGAATAGTTAGAATTGTTTAGGCCCACTAATAATTACAGCACTGCTCATAAATTACATAAAGTACTTAAAGGATTGTTCCATACTTTTGAAAGTTGAAAGAATGTATTTGCACGATGAAATGGAGGTAGGGTTATCATACTTGCAAATTTTGATTTGCCAGACTGTAAGAAAATAATAATGGTGTAAGCAACTGTGTGCAGGGCAGTGTATAATCGAGCATGTGCATTAATGAGCCCATGCACTGAAGTGAGTCAGACCTAAACAAACAACATAACAGACTCAACCAGCCATGTAACTGATTACATAAGAGAATTTAATAATCTTATGCAATAGAGCCTAAAATATGAAAGAAATAAAGTAAGAAACAAATTAAAGTTTATTTCAACACACAGGAATGGCAAAACAAATAGCTTATCCTTTCTCGTCAACAAATAATGCAAAATGTCCCCAAAGTAAAATAAAATGAATAACCTGTTGTGACATCAGGGATGTCACTGTGAAAGTCTTTATACATTGCCAAAAGATGGCAGTGATTTTCGTCAATCAAGGCATAGCTCTGAAAAGTACAGTGTAAATAAACCACTTTAGTTTACATCATTTTGGCTTCCAACAACTAAACATGCACATTCACACAATTCGAAATATTTATAGCAAAATTGAGAGCAATGCCTTCAGAATTGATTTAAGTCATTGCATGTACAGTTCTGTATTATAATATAAATTATTATCTTTTATTTACACACAAATAAAAAGAGGGCCTATAATTAAAAAGATTTTTGCAATTCTCCCCAGGCTTAAAAAAAAAGGGATAACAATAGACTGGTGCTATAAATTAAGAAACTCTTCTTTCCACCAAATCTAGTTAAAGAGATTTAAAAAATTATTGAGAAAGACTAGAGAGAAATGGTAATAGAACATTTGTTGTAAAATTGTGGTTTTTTTATTTCTGTAACTAATTTTAGTCATATTTTTTTCTAGTTCAGGTGGAATGTTAATAAAAAGTTAGAAAAACTAAATAGTAAATGTTCAAATCTTAAGTATGATATTCTAACCAAACAAGATACCATGTTTTGATCACCAAGTCTCATTTCACTGAAACTCTGCCTCACTCTTGATAATTGAAATTTAAAACTCATGATCTATTTATTGTTATTCTGGTATTAAATATCAAATTATAATTTTAACTGAAGACATTTTTAATGGTGCCTACCATTGTTTAATATTAGAAATTTCTGAAAAAGTGATAACCCCATAGTAGACAAATCTTGAAGTCAACTTGACAAGTACCACAAACAAAGGTACACACCTTTAATTAATATTTTAACACTAAACCAATTAAATACAGAAAATCCTGTAACCATAGGATAATGTGCACCCTTAAACAATTCTAATGTTATTTTCCAATTTCACTGTGATAGTAAGAAATAAACTGGGGAAAACATTTTTAGAACTGAAGAAGTTTTTGTGACCTAGCTGTGACACTGCCCAACTGATTCATTTCTTGATAATTCAATTGTGATAACATTTTTTTGAATTGTTTTTGTGTAGCATTTAATTAACAAACATCTATGTTCTTTTTAAATACTAACAAATTTGAAAAATATAAAAATCATTTTTATAATGCATTAATTTTAACCCAATTTTACATTAACTGTGGCAGCTGTTAGACAAATGTTTATCATAAAGAATTATTTTTAAATGTAAACTGGTTGAAGTCTTTATATCAGCACAACATCAATACTATCTCCACAGCAGTGACAAACAGCACCAGTTGTATACACATAAAAGTTATATTTTGAGGTTGTTTCAGAAAAGGTTCATGAGACGTGAAATGAATATTCCTGGAAAAATTTCAAAGGCTGTGTCCAGGCAGCTGGAAACAGAAGAAAGGAAGATAATTGTAGAAATACATGTGATTGGTTGAAAAGTACAACAGTGACCAAGCTGGGTTCGAAAGCTAAGAAAGAAAACTTTTATGTAAATTTGGAAGCCAACTTCCTTGCTCTTTCATAAAAATCAGCTCTCAGACTTGTGTAAACAGGGCAATATTTCCCACAAAAGCTCTATTCTAAAGTGAATTCAGAAAAGGACCAGAACACTAAGTGGAACTAGTACTGCAATCTGCAAACAAGCATGTAGGCCTACATGAAAATGGATGGAAAATATGATTTCTTTGTAGTGAAAAAGTCAAAATCAAACTAAGAATCCAGAGAACAGTAGATTCCTTTAAGTCAGCATTTCTCAATCAGTGGATTGCAAACCCATAGGGTTTAAAGAAGAAAGTAGCTTGATGCAGAGCCAGATTTAAGACTATATATCTCTCTCTGTTGAGCCAAACTTTAAGCACTGTATTCTTCAAAGCAAGCTCAGAAGTCTCACTAGTTTTAGTTAAATGGTTTTCCTTTAAATTTTATATTTCAATTTTACTGGGTACTAACTACAAACTAATGATAATATCAGATTCAGATTATATTGTAAACGTGTTACATACCATGTGTTACAGAAACTTTTTATTTTCAATAAATTATTTTATTTTACAAAATTTGTTACTGTTTAAAAGGAGTTCAATCTAAAAACTATTATTACTCAAGAGGTTCGCGAAGAGAAAAAGGTTGGAAAATGCTGCTTTAAGTAAACAAAATTTTACACAGTTTTGGAAATGAGAATACATAAAAGTCAGTGTAGTGAGAAATACATCCTCATTTACTATGAAATTAAATATGCCTGTATTTACAGAGAACAGAAGTTCAGATGAAAATAAACAGCATCTGGTCAATGAGAAACATTGTAAGTACAAAACCTGTGCACTTACAACATCATAATTTTCAATAAATCACATGTACTTTCCAGTCACCTTTCTCGCTCCCATTCCTGGGTGCTTAGACAAAGTTAATTTTGAAAGAGCCTAGATCCGCTTCAGTCCTTTAGTCTGGAAAGTTATTTTGCTGGAGACAATGCAACGGGTGACCATGAAGCCATATTTTTAAAAGCCAGCAACTGTGAGCCAGAGAAGTGGGTAGAAGATTTCCCTGGTTCTGGCTTTTTCCATGATAGTCCATGGAATAGGTACAGTCTGGATCAGACAAGAGGTGATACCTTAAGTGGTCTTGCAAAAAACCCATTTCACAGTGGGCACATGCAGAGTCAGGGTGGATGGTATAAGTGCTTTCCATAATCCTGGATCATTGTAGATTTTTGGTAAATATACCCCAGGAGGCAACACCAGCCATCTGGTGGGAACCTATGTAAGGAAATTAGAGCTCTGAAACAGATACAGTACGTATTCTTCTCAGAAATGGTGGGAGTGATTGAAGAATGTTGACCTGTGGACATCAAAAATAATCAGGAGATAAAACAGCCAGAAAGCATAGAGAAGGAGATGAATGTGTGTGGAAAGAGTTTACATACCTGCCTGGAAGAGCTCATCCAAGGGCTGCTGAAAAAGAAATGTAAAAGGTGACAAATCAAATGTGAAGAAAATGGAAATAGTGATAGAAGAGAAGTATGGTGTAACTCATGACCAGTCAAAGTCCAATGAAGAAAGAATCAGTCCAGGGAAAGATAAAGATAAGTGTGGTGAAAGGTGGTGCAAGAAGTACCCAAAGGAAAGATATTGGAACAATGGTAATCAGAAGAGAGAAAGATGATATAAAAGCTAAGAAATCAACAGCAATGGGGCATGTACAATATCATGCAAAACTTCATTAAGGCAAGGGAGTAGTGTGAGGACTGAAAAGAAAGAAGGAGCAGAACAGAATGAAGAGGATCAGGGAAAAATCACCTCCTGGTACCAGTGAAGGAGAAAAACCATGAACAGGACCACCTGACAACTAGAAAAAGCTAAGACCAAGAATCCATTGAACAGTCATGTAAGAAAGGCAGAAAGGTGGTACACAGAATTACTGTCAGGAGGAAAGAAATGGGAGAAGGACCAATGACAAAAGACCCGCCACAGATGATGACAGACAAGTGCAATGGAATGATGATAAGAATAAAGTCACATTAGTGGAAAGTCTGGCCCAGTAGGCAACAGACTGGGCAAATTCCATGCATGAGGGTGGAGGGAGAATAACTCTCTATGAAGAAGAGAAGTGTGAGAATGAGAAGCAAGAGAGAGAGGGGAGAATGGGAAGATAAAAAAGGGTCGGAATATCAATCAGACCAAGGCTAAGGTGGTCAAAGAGGTGTCAATAATAAGACCCAAGAATGAGAGTAGTATGTAAACCACGGCCTAGAAGGAGACTCATAAGAGAGTAGGTATACAGAAAGAGGTAAGACCAAGAGGAAGCCAAGAGTTTAGCAAGGTGGCAAAATCATCCAAAACGGACATGTCCTACCAAGGGTAAACCCCACAGAAGATATGGGTTTGTGGAGACTATTTTGTTGATCGAATACAGACTGGCAGTCACCACAAACATTGATGCTCCTGGCAAGGAATGTGAAAAGGCTCAGAAGTATATGGTTAATACCTAAAATAAAAAAGACCCTGGAACAAGAACCACAAGGATAGTTGAAGCAAGAAAAGACTATGGAATAAGCTGAGGGGAACACAATCAAGTGAACCATCAGTAAGGACAGGAATGGGAACATGCCCAACAAAGAGTGAGAAGTAGAGCATGTTGATGTGGAGTGAGCTCTTGCCCAGCATCCAAAATCGAAAACTGTGCTTCAATCTGAGAGAGAGAGGAATCGAAGAAGGGAAAGATCTAGTTTGAGAGGTGGTAAGGGAATAGTGAAAGTATTATGGGCAGGGTCCAGTCACTATAGCAATTCCTTGAGGAGAGGTTACAAAAGAGGGAAAAGGAGTCCAAGAAAGAAAACCTTGGGTCCACAAGGTCTACTGAGGGAGATATATGAGGGCATACCATAAAGTAATGAGGGGGCTCCATGGAAGCCAGAGTATCCAAAAGTGCAAGAACCTCTCCTGCAGGTAGAAAACAAAATGTGTAAAACCTGATGAAAGATATACCATAGCACACAGGTGAAGAAAAAAGGCCAAATTTGGTTGAGATGAGAGAAGAAGGAAATACCCAAAAGTACCCAACACTGAGTGGGTGTGAGAGGGGACTTAGGTCCCAAGGTTAGTCCCCCCAACCTAGTAGCTACCATAAAAGAGAGGTAGGAAAAGAGGAAATATCCAAGAATATAAATAGTCCCAGGTTGTGAATATGGGAAGAGAAGGCCTCACAATACCAAAGAATACAAGAAGGGCTGATGCTGGGTCAAATATAAGAGCAAGAAATGAGAAGATGCAAAAAAAAAGATGGACATGACAGAGAAAAAAAAGGGAGGATGAGCCAAGAAACACATGTAGGAAGGTGTCCAACACATTGACCATGGTCAACTGCAGTTCAGGTGACAAAAAACCATAGATGGAGTTTGAGGAAGGAGAAAAGGAAATAAAAAGAAAATCAAAGAGAAGAAGAGTGAGGAAAGAGAACAAGGTGAAGAAATGGAAAACAATTGGTGGCAGAAATTGAGATGAACAGCAGGAGAAGAGAAAGGTACCCACAGAAACGAACATGCATGATAGTCACTGGCAAGAAGAGTGACAAATGAGAATTCTGTAGAGAAAAGATGAGAGAAAAAAAAAAGGAGGAAGGCCTGGAATGCAGAATGGAATGGTGGGAAGGAGACTGATCTAGATGAGGAAAAGAAGTAAAGGGTAAGGTCGAAGATAACGAGGACAGAAGTTTTACAACATCTGACCAGGTCATCAGGGGGAAAGGAACATCACTGAAGATGTCTGGGAAACAAAAAAAAAGCCAGACAAATAATAAGTACACAAGTAGAAGGAAGGAGTACAGTAAAGAGGGATGTAACCCAACCCAATAAGCAGGGGAACAAAGTATGGAGAGATAGAGCAGAAGAAGTGGAAGAGGCCAAACAAAGAAGGGAACAAATGTCTGCAGAAACCATCAAAAGTATTAAGAAGTGACTCAGGTAAAAGGTGGAGTTAGGAAAGAGAATACAGAAAAGTAGAAGAAAAAAAGACAAAACAAATCTGGAATGGGAAATTAGAAAGTGAATAGAAAGTATAGGCTCAATCCCCAAAATGGCCAGATAGATACCAATAATGAATTGTGAAAAGGAAGAGAAAAAAGTCTACAATTCAGGACAAAGAGAGTCACAAACATGAGAGGGATGAAATATGGGCATAAGAAAGGAGCTATTAGATAAAGGTAATGTTATAAAATCTAATAAGAAACAAGGTGGAAAGACAAGATAAACCCAGGAATTGTGGATCAGAAAGTGAGGAAACAAAATAATAAAGTACACAGCCAAAATAAATGGAAAGGAGCATACCTGAGATGGAAATCCATAAAGAGATTAAAAGGTTAAGGTCATTTCATGAATGGTAAAGTATTACCCAAAGCAAATCAGGTGAAGGCTGTAGCCTAATAGATCATTCCCGACTGTGCAGAAAGTAATTAGACCAACGAGACAGGAGTAGGAGGCCCTTTAAGTATGTAGTAATCCACAACAAGTTGAACAACAGTTGCAACAACCCTGACAGTTAACAAGCTTCCAAAGCCACAGCAGAAATAAGGTCTAAGGGTGAACAACATCCGACACTCAGAACTAAGTATAAATCATCCCTATTTGAGAGATCATGATAAAATATTAAAGCTCTTGAAAAAAAAGCTAAAGAAAGTTTTGTGAATGATGCAAGTCTCAATAACTTGAACACAGATGAGAAATTTAAACATGTCCGTGCTCTACAGCACCTAGGAAAAAAATGAAGATTCATGAGAGCAAATGCACAGTGGGAGTTAGCGGGCATGTAGGTGTGTCACTCTGCTATTGGTGGAGGGCTTTGTCACATGATGACATCATCATGCAGCGGTGCAATTGATGTACAATTAAGTGAAATTAGGTGGGAGTTGCCTCAAGGCTAGTGGCATACAAATCCTTTTGGCAGACATCTGAAGAAGAAAGCTAATCTGTGTAGAGGCGAGTTATCATTTCAGAAACACAGTTAACTTTTCAATTGAGCACAGCAACCAAATTTCATTTCTATGCTGTTTTCTATGTTCTGGACTACTAAAATAAAAGCACTATGTACCTCAGTGGAAATAAATTATAAATTTCATTGATTATCACTGTTCTGAGATTCCAAGATTCTGTTCTTATGCATAATGAAATTGTTATAACAATCAAGAAAAAAAAAAGCCTTTCATATATCAAGGTTTTATGTCCTTGATTAGTTTCATTTTATCAATTAATAACAGAGGAGCAACATGATGTACGACTTCAGGCTCAAAGAACAAGACAAGCTCAAACACAATTTAATTTCAAATAAAGCTTTGTTTGATTAAATGCTTTTTCATTTCTCGCATCACAGCTTTTGTCTACTTACTGAATAATTTGCTGAAAAAATACTGATCTATATATTTCAAATCTAAATTTTCACTGTGCAATGCCAGGTAACTCAGCTAGTACAATATAAAAGCTGTATAGGCTTAATTTATCAAAGTAATGGTTTTTGCCTTAAAACTTGGTAAATGTTCTATCAGGTTTTATGATGTAACTCAATAGCTTTTTAAATTTATCTAACTGAAAGACAAAAATTTGTTGTTGTTTTTATTTGGATATATATTTCTTACAAATAAAAAAGTCATTTTTGAGATCTAATATTCATATTTTAGGGTTAAAAAAAAGCTGCATGTACTTACAGCAATAATATACTTTTGTGGAGCAGGACTAGTTGCATCCTCTGAATATGGAAATCCTAGTGGGCTAAGGCATACAATACACAAACATGATATGAACAGCAAAAATAAAACCCCGACAGTTTGTAAGACATAACGTGCCACATGTACCAAAGTCAACTGTAAGAAACAAAACAAAACTTTTAACTATTAAGAATTTTTGTTATAAGAAAATATAAATCAAAATTCTGTTAAAATAACTTAGAGCAAAAACTGATTCAAAAGTGATCCAGATTTTATTGTTAACCATACCTAAATGAAAACTCATTTTATTATAACTACATTTTTGTTCTAAAGTGTAAAATTAAACCATGAAGATATAATGATGTTCAAAATATCTGTCATATTTTAAAACAAACTGACACTAAAGTTAAATGTACTAAAATTGCTCTTTTATATGTTACGTATTTCCTTTATGATAAACAAAAAATATTATAATCATTATAAAAAACATTTTTCTTCATGAAAGAGAGAATAAAAACAACCCATTGCTTTTAAATGTGTACCTTCTAAGTCTATGAAAATAGGTATGTTATATATTATTAATCACTAAAATTTGGAACTAACCCTTCTAAACTAATAAGCTTTATAATAATTTTTAGCAGACCTCTAATGAAATGACAACCAAGAACAAAAGGACTGGAGTCCACTCTATTGCTACAGTGAAAATAATTTTTATATGTTTTAATTAATCTTAGTGTACCATAACTCTATACATAAGTCTATAATTATTTTTTTTTCAGTTTTTTTTTCTGTTAATGAAGTCAGCTAACAACAGCTGTTAAGTGTGTGGTTTAGTACATTCTAGCCTTCACAGTAATAATCTTTCAAAATTGTTTTTATTTAAATCAGAACACAGTAATTATATTTACTGATAACTTGATAAGTCAAAGAACAGTGAATCTTGTTTACTGCTGAAAATCTGTGTAGAAGAAATACTTGTAAATTGACTATTCAAACAATTTGAAATAAAATGGAAGATGTTTGCATTTCTTTTATGTTTCATACCATGTAGCTTGTACAAATGTAGGCTACTATAGCAGTTACTGCACCAATGAAGAGATCTGGGTTAACCTGGGCTCCTGTTCGTCCCATAATTGGAACAAATACCAGATAGACTTGCCAGCAGTTATATAATATTATCACAAGAGGAATGGCTTGAGAAGATAGGTGTACCATTATAAGTTTCATATGAGCACCTAGAAAAAGAAACAAATCCTTATATAAAATATATTTATTTGGCTAATAGCAAACATTTCATGTAATGGGAAGGAAAATAAGTCATATGATTAATTTAAGTAAAATGTAAGATCATCAGGAATAAAAATCGAATAAACATTTAATGACAACATATTACTGGTAATATGCTTAAATTCTCATCCATGTATATGTATTAATGTTATAACAATTTATTACTACACCACTCATAACAATATAAACATTTTTTTACCTTTGGTTCTAGCTGAAATGCAGAGTCGACCCCCTAGGCTACGTATAGTTGTAGTAAAAAGCAAAAGCACAGTGGGTAAATAGGCGGAGTGAATATCAAACCGAGTCATTAAACAGATGATCACAGCCCATATCACTCGTATAGCATCATAATAAAGCTCCTCTGCTTCCCAGTCACTGCCTTTAGCCTGAGTACATTAAAAAGCGATGTAATCAAATAAATTTCTTCTACTCTTGTTATAATGATTTAAATATTCTAAAATATCAAAATAACTAATAAGCAAAAAAACCTAATAAACAGTCCTTGAATAACTACAATGCTCATTTATCAAAATGCATTACTATTGAAATATAAAGTAGAATTATTTAACCAAAAACTAACTTTTTGAAGTAAATTTTTTGTTTAAAAAAATGAAAGAGCTTAGTATGGAAAGTGTCTAATAGGTTGAAATTAATGGTAAAAAAATCAATGAATTTAAGTGTTGCCTAAATTGGAACCAGGAAAGAGGAAATTTAAGTTTACTAGCATCTCAAACTAGAAATAGGAAAAAAGCTGCAAGTTTAAAAGTGTTTCACAGGTTGAAATCAAAACCACTATTTATCATGAAATTATATATTAGCTGAAGTTTTTGTATCTGTGTATATGAAATGGTATTTTTAATTGCTTTAAGTTCACACTGTATAGGTCATTGGTCAGGCCACATTTGAAGTACTGTGTTCAGTCTTGGTGTCCTTACCTCAGAAAGAACACTG